TGGGCTGCCTGGCCACTTAGAAAGACCTGAGGGACTGTCTCCTCCACCTTCCCCAGCTGCAGCGGCTGCGGCTTGCAGCGCCGCCTTCTTTTTTGCCGCACGGCCACCGGCGGGCTTGGTGTACTTGTTGCTGTTGTCCATGGAAACGGCACGGCGACGAGGAGCCTTGCCGCCTTTTCCTCCTTCTGGATTGATCATCCACCAGGAACTCTTTCCTGTTCCTTCATTTTGGACTCGAATGAAGCGGCTGTGGAGGGAAAGGTTGTGTCGGATGGAGTTCTGAAAAACACGAAACAAAGAGCGAGGACAGTTGTGAGCAACAGATTCACAAATTAGAACAGCCATTGATATTGATTGGTTGTGTTCCCTCTCCCCCTTTAAAATATTTACTGAGGGCAACTCATCAAACACCACAACACTGATCTATAAACCACCGGCTGCCAATGATTCTACAGCACCTTAACAGCTGCTGTTATTGCACAGCTGAAGCAAAACTGTTCTAAAATAAACATTCTTAAATAAAATGATCTTAAAAAGTGACGGCAGGAAGACAACTGTGTGGGACTGTGTCTCCTTATGTTTATCCAGTTCATTGGGCCGGGGACTTAGAGACTGGCGTCAGCCGTTTGTTGTTTAGTGTGTGTACAACTGTTTCATTATATAACAGCACATTTTTACACTAGTAAAATTAGGTCTTGTGATTTCAATGGATATTTTTCCCCATTTGTGAATACAGAGTGAGGTCAGTTCACGCGAGGTCTTGCTGTTATTACTAATCCATTAGAGAAAAGGACAGATGTGCTGTGGTTATTATAGATATGTGATCTGTAAATATATGACACACTTCAGATTAACACCGCTGCCACGACAGTTGTTATCATTCAGACGTAACTCCGTCACACAAACCTTGACCAGCATGTCCATGCTGGATGCTGTTTAATGGGAAAATAGAGTGTGACCTAACTATAAACATGTATAAAACCTTATTTAAGTTGAATTTTCTCTGGTCAGGATTTCCGATTATATCCATGAACTTTTATGACATTTTCTTATTTCTTTTTGAAAACCTTGTTAAATTCATTATTTTCGCCTCAATCTCCTTTCCTTTCCACACCTCCTCCCTTTTCCACTGTTTCTGTTGTTTCACAAACACACTGCACTTATGGGTCCCTCGGGACTCTGGCACTATGTTATATCCTCCCATATAAACAACCTAACCACCATCCACAACATGCGAGCATTTTTCCTTCTGCGTTCGCCTGCTAGGTATATTTTTACTCCCCAGACGAGAACAGACTTCAGGGTTCAAACAAGCAAAGGCCAAAATTCTCTCGTTTTTGTG